TCCTCTCTCTCTCCCCCCACGAATACACGCGTTCGATCACCTTTTTTTAGAGTCCTCTCGTTCCTAGAAAACCTACGCTTCAATTACCCGAGACAATGGACACGCTCCTACCTCTCCTTCCCTATCTACCTATATTTCGCTCATCCATCTCTATCGTTAGACCTCTATATATATACACATATACACAGCCGTCCGATGGACAATGTCGCGTGTCCATTCCGCGTAAACTCCATCGAGAACATCCATCGAGAACATCCCCATCGAGACTACGGCTTTCGAACGCACACCCTGTAGGTAGATAGGTGTAGGCAGGCGCAGGTAGGCTCTCAGGATAGATCTCGACGAAGAGGGCAAACGTTGAAATCGACGGATTTCCCGTTCCAGGGAAAAAATATTCCATTGAAGGAGGATTCGCGGGAAATTCCGCTCCCTTTTTTCCTATTACACGTTGCCAATTACACGGGGTCGTCGTCAAAGCGTTTAATTCGATGAAAGGACGGCTATGTAATATAATGTCGCAGCCCTTCTTTTTTTCCTCCGGAACGATTCACACGGCCTCCCACAGGAGCCCGGATGCGCTCTCCTCTTCTTTCTCCTTGCGACCAAATCGCGCTCCCCTCCTTCGTCCTTTCTCTCTCTCTCTCTCTCTCTTCTCCTCTGTTTCGCAAAACTCGGTGGTGGATCGCGCTGTACCTCCTCCCTGCCGGGTTCAAACAGGTTCTCTGCTTCCGGGATGCGACGTTAAAGCGGCGATGACAGATGAAAATGGATTTCGACGCGAGCTTTTCTCCTTCCCTTCTCCTTTGCCGCAATTTTTTGACTATTCTTCGGCAAAACTCCTGTCCCAACCTAATTTTCGAATTTTTTCCCACTCGACCGAGCAGAAAGACGAAGAAGAAGAAGAAAGGAGAAAGGAGAAAGGAGAAAGGGAGGGAATCTGGCGAGATTAAGATCGTTGAACTTCGCTAAACGCCACTTTGCTGTACGCCTTCTTCCCCCTTCCTTCGCGCTCCGATAGAAGATAAAGCGGCTGTCGCTTCCCCCTCCTCGGGGGTGGGGGAGAGAGAAGAAGTCCGTGGAAAGTAACGAACGGCGCGGCGTCGAAATTGAAAGGGTTCCCACGAGGTCGCGATCCACGATCGTTAAACCGCGCGCTCGTCCACTTTATATCATCCCTCCTTCCGTTCCCCCCCCCCCCGCGAGCTCCGCACCTCTCCGTAGCTAGTTCCAAAGTTCGATCAAAACTTCCAACCGGATCTCGCTTGATAAATCAATAAAAATCGAAGGATGAAAATTCGTTTTCTTTTTTCGAGTCGACTGCCTCGATTCGACTCGAATTTTCCGACGATTCGGTTTTGGAAACGTGCGGAGAGGAAGGAAGGAAGGAAGGAAAGAGTAAAACCGAGACTTAGCCACACGGCTGGTCAGCCATATCCACGGAGGAGGACGCAGGACAGCGTGTTTAGGGTCGATGACCCTCCGCACATCCGCGTTCGGTGCACACTTTCCCTCTTTATCCGCCTCGCCTCTCTTTCCTCTCGTTGCCTCCCCGTTGCCAGCTACTTCTCCCGCTGCTTTCCATTCCCTCCTGTTCCACGCCGCACTTTAACCGTTCTTAGAGTGCCGTCTCTCCTCGTGTCTCTCCGATCGAGGGTGAAAGGACCCTCTTCTTTATTTTTTCCCTCCTTCTCCTGCTCCTGCTCGCTCACGCGCGTTACCACGCTTGACGATGCACTCTCGTTTACCGATTCGTCAGTTAAATACGACGCTCTTCCCTCCTCGTCTGTTATTATTATTATTATTATTATTATTATTTTAAATTTTCCAATTTCTCGGATCGCGAAAAGAACATTGGGCATTGTAATATATATGGGTTACGTTATTGTTGTTTCAACCGTGCGAAGAGGGGATTATGATAACATCGATCGATCGAATGTTTGGGAATGGAAAACGAAAGTGGGAGCAGGGAAAGCGAAACTTGCTGACGGTTAAGTGACAAAGAAAACAGGAGAGGCGTGCGTGAAACAGCAGTTTCAGAGATCAATGAACGATTGTTTCCAACCTAAGCCTCCTCTCGTTCGTATTCTACAGGTTGCTTCGCGGCACGCGTTCCTTCCTTTCGAACGCGTTCTTCTTTTCCTTCTTCTTCTTCTTCTTCTTCTTCTCGATTCTAATCGATAGTGGGTATAGAGACACGCTACTCGACTCTTTTCATTTCCTCTCGAATTTATTTAATTATTTGATTCGAGGATGGGGATAATGGTGGGGGACGAGACGACGCGAGTCAAACGAGTTATTCGAAATCTTCTTTCGTTTAATCCGCGGCTTTTCGTTATCGAGAATAATATGTAAATTCCCCGTTTTCTGTTGCAGGGATTTGGAGCGCGACTTAAGCTTGAGCGAGGACAGCGAGGATGAGGCAAGCAAGGTAAAAAAATAAAAAAGTAAAAAAAGATCGTGTTATACGCTCGTTTGATATCTCGTTTCGCGTGATTATTATTGGACGTTTAAACTGATATTTCGTATTGATAACAATTATTGAAGAGAGAACTGGTTTGAGGTGGAAGGGAATAATCACATCCTCGTATAAAATTAATTGGTAATCGTTTTCTTTCGCAGGAAACGTCATCGCGGACAACGAGGGGAAACAGAAGCCCCGACCTCACGGTCGAGTAAGTATCCGTTTGTCGATACGCCCGCCAATTAATGCCCCTGTTATACACTTCGATTATCTCGTTCCAAAATTAATGCGCCCGGTTATTCATATCTAATTACCAACTTTGTTTTATCCTTTTCTTCCATCCATTCCATCCATTTCTTTCCCTTTGATCTCGTCTCTTCCCACCATCTTCCCACCGTCACGCTATCGTACCACCATCTGTATTCTTATATCCAGCTTCAAAATCGTTTAAAACATTTAAATATTTAAATATCGCAAAAATAAATCCATCAATAACTCTTTTTACTTACGCTTGATATAAATAATAATTTTATCATCCTCTGTTCCGTACGATGGCCGGATGTGAACTCCTGTAATAAATATAATCCCACCCACTCGAAATTATTCGGGAGTTAAAAAACCCGGGGGTGAACTCGATATAAACTCGAAGAAATCAATTTACCAACGATAACACGGCACAACGAACGAATCCAGGGAAAATATTCGCTTCCAAAAAACCAATATTCTCTTTCCCCTTCTCTCATCTCCCGTTATCGATCTCAAACGATTGAACGCAAACATTGATTGGCGCACAGTTTATCGATACCAGCGATGACGCCAGCCCCGCCGCCACTGGCACCCATGTCGCCGATGGGCCCGTCACCGGTCGGCCCTTTGTCGCCCACGAGGCCGCTCAGCCCGAGCAGGCCGCCATCGCCGCCCAAACAGATGACGCCGGAGCAAGTGGTCTCGCCTCCGCCTGTCAGCCCCCTGCAATCCAAGGGTTCCCCGAGCCCCAACGTGCACCAGAGGCCGCCCAGCCCTTCGGGCCAGGCGATGCAGAGCTCCGGAAGCGCGAGTTCCACATCCGACACCGGATCCGACTCCGGCTCGGACAGCAGCGACGATTCCGAGGAGGAGACCAGCCCTCCGCCCACCAAAGGCCCCTCCACCCCTCCCTCCGTCTCACCAAAGAATGAAAATATAATCGAGGAACCGCCGCCTGCGATCGAGGAGCCGAAATCAAGGAGTTGGAATTTGGAGTCGTTCTTCAACAAGACGAACGCCATGCCCCACGGGGAACAGAATTCGGAGAACAAGCAGGCGCAGGTATATATGCGACATCTTTTTATTTTTATTTTCCCTCGATATCTGACTCTGACTGATTTTCATTTTCGTCTCGAAAATCGCCAGGTTGCTCGAGAAAGATCGCGTTTATTGAAGAAAGAAAGAAAGAAAAAAAAAATTGACTATAAAAAGAAAATATGGATGCTACGTTTCCAATTACTCAATCCTCAATAATTCCGCTCGTAGTAGCGAAAGGGTTGATTCGATCAGATGGATTTGACCGCGAATTTTTGTTAACGAAAATATAATCATAGCAATAATGAGAGCTTTAGAGATCGATCTCATCATCTCATAAATTTGAAATATCCGCAGGATTGCAACAGGCGGCAAGATTCCCCTATGGTGACGACGGTGGACGCCCGAGCGCACAGGAACAAGGCGGCGCACGAGTGGCAGCTCGACGAGGCCCTGAAGAGGACCCGTAACATGACCATGATCAGCGTGTTGTACAGCGACAGCGATCGGCCTTCCGATCAGGAGAAGGGGCAGCCGGTGGAGGAGAATCGGGCGCAGGCCGAAAAGCCGAAGGTTGACGCGAGGAAACGCGGCCGGCCGAGGAAACCGACGAATCCAAAAGCCGGGCATCGAACGTCGGACGAGAGTTTGAAGAACGGGAAACCTCGCAGCAGGACGAGAGGGGTGGGCAATCACATGAAGAAGAAACCGCCCCTCTCGAAGGCGAACATATCTACGAGCGAGGATGAGAGCGACGACAGGTCGCAGGGGGCGTCGAGCGACTCCGACAGCGACCGGCCGCCGACCAGGGTGTCGCCTGGGGTCGCGGCTATGAACGACAAGAGGAGGTCCAGATTGAGCGGATCTTCGAGCGAGGACGAAAGCCCGCCCAAGGGGAAGAGCAACAACAACAACAACAACAACGTGTCCGAGGACGACACCTCGCGTTGGAGAAGGATGACCAATATTAAGAGAAGCAAGTTGGGAGACTCGCCGAAGAAACAGGAGAAGAAGAGCCCCGCGGCGAAGGCGAAGCCGAGAAGGTCGACCTCGCGGGTGAACAATGGATCCGATTCCGACAGCGAGTCGGAAATAGTGAGGAATCGTATCCAGGTTGCCAGGTAACTATTTAAGCTTTGACAACGAATGATCGTTCCATCTTTGCAATTGTAATAATAATAATTTTTTCTTGTATCACGATTAAAGTCGAATTGTTCGGAATTTTTGTGGGTGCAGAGTACCTCCTAGGCCGAGAGTCCCACCGACCCGAGATTCTTCCCCGGAAAATTCGGACAGCGATAACAGTCCGGGTCCGAAGTTGCAGGAGGAAGATGCGGGCAACGTGCAGGACAAGAAGAAGAGCGACACTCTTCGAAAAGTGTTCTCATCTTCGATAGGGGGAGGGAAGGGCGGTGGCAAAGGAGGGAAAGGCGGTAAAGGCGGTGGAAAGTGTGGGATTTTCGTGGAAGAGTATACGACCTCCGCGAATACGCCGACCGGCGGGGAGAGCCCTTACAAGAGACCATCGTCACAGGCGTCGAACGTGACTCAATCTTTCCCGCCGCTCACGCGCGTGAACGGCGTGCCAAGTTTGTACTGTAGGATCGAGCTGAGCAAACTTCAGCATGTGTCGCAGTTGTCGAGGGGTCAAGAGTTGAGACAGCGCACAGAACTTCCAGACACGAGGCCGTCGTCCAGACAAGCCTCGACGCTGACGCATCAACCCCCTCGACCGCCTACGCCTGAGGAAGGGGAGATCGTCGACACGCCACCGCCTCAACAGGAAGCGAGGATTCACGGTGACGCGTCGTTGCTCGTCGACGGTGATGTTAAAAATCGCGCTGTGATCAAGGGCGAACCTATATCGGACACGAAGAGTAATTGTGGTATAGGCCTCGCCGCGGGTGTCGTCGGTGCAGGTGCTAGTAGTGGAGGAAGTGGTGCTAGTAGTACGGGTAACGCGCCCAAGAGGAAACGTAATCCGAGTTGTAGTTCAGTGTCCAGTTTGAGTACTGTGTGTTCCATAGATACGAAGACGAAAGGGTCGGGAGAGCACAAAGACAGGAAGAAGAAAAAGAGGAAACACGGCGACGTCGAATCTGTTAACGTTTCGTCGAGGCCGTCTTCCAGTCAGGTATGCTTTCAATCCATTTCCATTCTTTTCGAAACTTGCTGCTTGATTTTCTCGACTAATTGTCTCGATCTCGTTCTCGTTATTATAGCAAAACGACATTCAACCTACGAATCACGAACGGGAAGAAAAGCCTGATACTAGTTTATTGCCACCACCACCACCGCCTCAACGCGTTTATTATTCTTACTTTAATCCTCAAAATGAAGTTTTAGAGGATCAGGATAGGTGGTGAGTAATAAAGTTTGACGAATATATTATCATTTCGTTATTCCGTGAAATTTTTCGTGTCTATATAATCAGTTTTATTGATTCGTCGTCACCAGGGACCAGAATCAGTACCTGATGGAAGCGAAGCGGCTGAAGCACAGCGCCGATAAGGAGTGCGAGCTCACGGCGCAGGGTATGCTTTACCTAGAAGCCGTTCTGTGCTTTTTGCTCACGGGAAATGCTATGGAGTCAGATCCTCTCACGGAGAGAGCGTCGTTCACTATGTACAGGGATACGCTCAGTCTCATCAGGTAACATACATCTCTAATTAAGCGCGAACCACCGACCGAACAGTATTTCCTAATTAAAGCGATCTCTGATTTTCTCTTCCCTCTCTGTTCAGATATATTTCTTCCAAGTTTAAGAGCCAGCAGAACAACTCGCCGGAGAGCAGTATACACAACAAGCTGGCCATTCTGAGGTGAGTACGCAGCTTCGAGTTTCTTCTTCTTCTTCTTTTCTTTTTTTTTTTTTTTTTTTTTCTAACGATTGTACGAGCAAGTTTCAAAAACGTTGTCGTGTTTCGTTTGTTCCAGTCTTTTTTGTCAGTCCCTCATATACTTGAAACTGTTCAAGATGCGCAGACACGAAATCAAAGAGAGTCAAAAAATTCTGAACGATTATCATCAAAAGGTGGGTGGTCGCGATCGAATATTTCGTTGTACAATTGTATTAAGAAAATTAAGCGCATAATTTATGAATAAATCTTATTATTTGTTCCACAGCCTGCTCAGGCAACAACGGTTCAACCAGAGGGACAGGGAACGCCATCCTTATCACCGACACCGTCACCTGCCGGTTCCGTGGGCTCCGTTGGCAGTCAGAGTTCCGGATACAGTAGTGGCGAACTAGCGAATCGGGGAGCAGCTTCGGGCCAACCGCAGCCCGCTCCGTATGTTAGCGTTCCACTTAACGTGCACAACGCTATGGCGAAACAAAACCATCACTTCAGTTTGTTGTTGAGCTGTCACGATCTCTGGGACCAGGCGAACGCTCTGGTGACAGATAAACATAGAGGTGAGTGCTTCCCTTCTATTCCAACGTAATTTTATTGATATTTGAAATATCAATACGGTGGAAAGAAATGTATTCTTTCGTTTTCGCAGATTTTTTCATCGAGCTGGATGAAAAATTGGGACCTCTTACTTTGAAAAGTTCTTTACGCGATCTGGTACGCTACGTTCAAGCTGGTATAAAGAAGCTTCGAGATCTCTGACCACAGTGGCATAGCCCCAGACCGCCCACCCCGAATTATATAACTTCTCTCCCACAAAATATGGCTACGTATCCAACGATATATACATAAAGAAATCGAATTATTTGGAAGAGATTTGGAATAGATTTAGAAAAACGTACGATCGGCGATCGTATGATTAATAATAACGTAACGCGCGTCAAGAGAAACGTTGAATTCGAAAAGATGGGAAATCGGGAGAGAAATCGAATCTGTTCTCATTTCAACGAATAAGGATTATTCTGACGGGGTTTAAGGATTCAAGATGGCCTGGGGAATATAACGAGGAAAGCGTTCGATATGATATTCGAAAAATCGTCTAATTACGTTTCTTCGTTCAGGGATTCACGAAAGCGTATCCTGGCATTTAAAAAAAAAAGAAAAAAAAAAAAAAAAACTAACAGAGCACCAACTTTATAGTCAATTCAGAATAAAACTCGTCAAGAAGAAGGATCATTGTGAATCGGTACGTAGAGAGAATCTCTTCTATTCTGTGCATAGCACGCGTTACTTATTTTCGAGACGAGAATGGAGAACGTCAGCCAGTGACGTTAATTAAGAAAAAAGAGATCGAAATGGAGCATCGTAGATGTTTGAAGAAGATAAAGAAGATGACGAGGGGGAAGTACACTGGTCTCTATTTTTTTCGGACTGATCATTTTTGTAAAGTAAAAAATGAAATAAAATTGAAGATGCAAAAGAAAAAATAGAGGATGGATTATAAGGGGAAGAAAGGAATTAGAAGATGGAATTAGAAGTGCCACAGAAGCGCCCGTGTGTTCTCGCTTTACGGTGCGCCGCAGCCGACGTTACCTGAAGCATGAGTTTCGTCTTGGCGATTCGAGTGCGACGAATACACAAGAATATACATATATGCATATAGTTTATTACCTATATAAATATATAAATAATTATAAAAATATAGATATGAAAATATATTTAATGAAAAGAGAACCAACGCGTCGCGCACGCCGGCATTTTGTTTCTTGCGGAAAACAAAATAAAAGGAACATGGCGACTGCGAAAATTCGCGAGTTGAAGGTTTAGAGGAAAGATAAAGAGGTGAAGTGACAGGGATGGGGGAAATTTAGTGTGATGATGCATTTCTCTTGGATTGAGATGCACCACGAGCAACAAGATCAACAATTGATCCAAACCGATAGAATATTACTACTACTACTACTACTACTACTACTACTACTACTACTATTACTACTACTACTACTACTACTACTACTACTACTACTACTACTACTACTACTACTACACTACTACTATTACTACTACTACTATTACTACTACTACTACTACTACTACTACTACTAAAATGTCTTACGTCTGTGAACAAAGGACACGACTCTTTTTTGTAGATAGGTTACGAAAGAAAAAAGTAACTTAGATTAGATAATTAATAAATACGCAACAAGGAAAACAAAGTTAAACGATAACAGAAGAAATAAAACATAAACATATTATTTACATTACTTAGAATTAAACGGGGAAATAAGTAGAGGTTCTAGTGATGAAGAATAAAAAAAAAAAAAAGAATATTCGAATAATTACACATAGCGCATACACCACATTAAAAATAGTGCGATTATAAAGAAAGAAAAAAAATGGAAGGAAAAGGAAGAAAGGGAGAAAGCGTGCACAGACACCAAAACGAGAGAGAGAGAGAGAAGAAAAAAAGAAATAAAATAAAATAAAATAGCGCGTGGTAACTTTCGTTACACGAGACGCGTGTAGGGGAAAACAAAAAAAACAAAAAATCAAGCGTAACGGATAAGTAAGTTGCTCATGTGTATATTTTTGTAAATAGGTATTTGCGAGTGCCGCCGCCTTGAGGGTGACCTGTCGACGTTTAAATCGACGCGACAGGCCGGCCCGCCCCAATTTTTGCTACCACAAATCTTATCGAGAATCAGGAAATTTCTAGTAAAAAGAAAAAAATATTAAAATACACGTACACAAGATGTTACATGTCCGCCGAATTTGTCCCGAAGATTTTTTCCGAATCCGATTCTTTATAAATGCTTGTGTTACCTTTAATCTTTCGTGTATATATATATGTATTTATGTATACATATTTCTTTTACGTTGTTTTTTCTTTTTTTTTTTTTTTCTTCCTATTACGTTATTCGATTCGATCGACCACCTTTCATCCGCCTCTTTCGAATCGATTATCGCATTTGTTCGATACGCTTTCTTTTGTTTTCGTTGTTCCGTCACCGATAAAATGAACAAAAAAAAAAAAAAAAAAACAAACCGTTATGTCGCAAAATGCGCACGCAATCTATTTAGCGATTTTCCTATATTTTCGCAGCTGATGGAATGTGGTTTAAAGTATACGAGGTCTGAATGTGCGAAATGGAAAAAGAAAAGAAGAAAAAAAAAATATATATATAAGAAAGAAAATGTAATTCGTTCGTCTTTCTCGATAAAACAGCGAATTCGATTTGATATGATCATTGTAACGAGGAGATCAAAAAACGGAAGAGGATAAAGAAAAGTTTTAGCAGTAAGTTAACTGGCGCGCGAGCATTCGAAGGATATTGTTGAATCATTCCTTGGACCAGAATCATAACGAATAATAATAATAATTTATCCAAACAATTAGTCAAACATATCGAAATTAAATTGAATTAAATTTTGAATCTTCCGTGTAATCTTTTCGTTAATCTTTGTAACGATAATATCGAAAGAGAGTGAGAGTGAGAGTGTGAAAGAGAGAGAGAAAGAGAGAGAGAGAGAGAGATAAAAAAGATGGGGAGAAGGAGAAAGAAATTGGACCAATGTAAATCGTAGGGGACGTTTAATAAAATCCATTGTATCGGCCAGTTCGTTGCTAATACTTTTCTACGTGAGAGGAGAAAGCAATGAAAATAAATAAAGATAGATAAAAAGGAAGAAAAGAGGAATGAAAGAAGCAAATATGGCAGAAAAAAGGCTGGAACCGTGACAAAGGGATCGAACAAGGGTTGACGAGACTTAGGGGGGCCCATATAGAGTTACTAAGCGCGGTCCAATGGTTCACGGGATACAATTTTATACCTCGTGTGCGCGTGCACACGGACTGAAGGATAAAAGAGTTTAAAAAAAGAGATCTATTAAAAAAGAAAAAAAAGTTTTGATATTTTCGAGACACATATTTATAGAGGATATCGTATAATATCAGGCCCTTCGGTCTCGTCACTCTGTTCTGATGATAAAATAAAAACGAGTAGTAAACGAGAGTTATAGTAGGGCCGAGATAAATGAAATGATGATTTTTGCGACTCGTGCAATTCGGCTGTTGCAATGAAATCGAACGTGTCCGCGCTTTTATCGAGAAATTATTTGCATACAAGGTTGATAGTCTGCGTGGTGCAACGTTCATCGATCGCGTCGCTATTTAATATTATTTAAAATCTTTCTTTCTATTTTTTTTTTTCCTTCCTCCCTTTTAAAGATAATCTTCGTTAGTCATTTTCTTCTTTAAGATTAGTTTGCTTTTTTACACTTTTTCTTCTTCCTTTTTTCTTTTGTAATTATTTTATTTATTATTAAATTCTTATTATTAAATTAAGAAAATTATCGCGTTAAGAGATATTTTTTTTTTCTTCTTTTTTTGGAAGCAAATTCCACGTTCCTAACGACCTCCGAGGAAACGAACGAGTAGTAAAAAATGATGCTGTCTTTTCGATGTCGACACGATTGAAGATTCGTTTAATGGGGAGGCAGAGATTGCGTTCGAATACTATACGTGTTTATCTTTCGTGGTTCCGTTTTTTTTTCTTTCCTTTTTATGATTTTTGTTCCTTTTTCTTTTTTTTTTTTTTTTTGTATCGATCAATCTAAGATCGATTCACACCAGGTCATGTGAGCCTTTCGCTACGCCAGGAGAGAGTTTTATCGATAAATATATATATATATATTTTATATATATTTTATATATATTTATATATATATATATATATTACATATTATAATATATATTATTATATATTGTCATTATTATTAATATCTTTATTATTAATATTATTATTGATTTATTGGTACTATGATCGTTGATAATATCAAGGAATATTTATAAGAATGAATGTGGGGCGAGAGTTCGAGATAAGGAAACGAGTGAAGGAGAAAAAGGAACGCGTATTATATGTGTATGACTGTGTGTCCGTGTAAAAGAGAGAGAGAGAGAGAGAGAGAGAGAGAGAAGTGTGAGTAAGAAAGAAGAAGAGAGAGAAGTTAGGAAAGAAAGAAAAAATGAAGGAAAGG